CATGCCGGGAAGTGTAGTCGCCGCCGCCGCCGCCGCGGCCAGGGGGGGTTTAGCCTCGCTCTCTGGCCGCCACCCGCTCTTCCCTTTTTCTCCGCCGAGGCCCCCCCCTTGTTTTGGGGGGGGACCCTGTGTGCTGGTGGGCGAGGCTTCGCTTGCCTTGCCTTGCCTGGAGGGGCTTTGCAGCCTTTTCGGGGGTGGGGGGCGCCTGGGGATTCTGGGATGGGTAGTCCAAGGAGGAGGCGAGGGGGCCCAGCTGAGGGGGAGGGGGCCCCGCGAGAGTCTGGCAGGCGAGCCATCCAGCGGGTCCCCATGCGGGAGACCTGGCCGGCGAGGCCCATCATCCCCCACTCACCGCCCCCATCATCCCCTTGCGCTCCGCTCCGCTGCGCTGGGGAGGGGAGCGCGAGGTGCTTGGATGGGCGGGATCCCGGCCGCCCCCATCATCCCCTTGCGCTCCGCTGCGCTGGGGAGGGGAGCGTGAGGTGCTTGGATGTGTAGGATCCCGGATCTCAAATTTTATTTTATTTTATTTATTACATTTATAGCCCGCTCATTTAGTCATATACTTTGACTCTGAGTGGGTAACAGCGTATCATATAACAATTTAACAATTTAAAAATCATATTGATATATTACTAATAGGGAAAACTTAAGGTGTGTTTGAATCTAAAATACAAACACATTAAAACACTGGAGCTCATAATCTAGAAAGGGTCGGAGCATCACAGAGAGAGAGAGACACCAGTATACTGTATGTGGGGCGCCTCTGCTGCTCGGCCAGGCCAGCGTCCCCTCCTCGGCCTCATCCTGCCACCTTCTCCTCTCCCCGTTGGAAGGCGCAAGGCCAGGCCAGAGAAAGCTTCCATCCTAAGGACAAGCGGGGGGGGGGGAGAGGAACCCCCCAGGAGGGAGGGCCCAGCGGCCAGAATTGCACCCCAGGCCCTCACCCCAAAGGGAAGCCCCGGAAAAAGGGAGCGAACCCCAACCTGCCTGGGCAGCCCCCTCCTGTTTCGATGGGGGGGGCGCCAAGTGGGCAGTGGTGTAGCTGTGAGGCTCTCCAGCGTCCCTAAAGCAAAAAAAAAAAAGCCCCCCAACGAGACGTTGTTCTCTCTCCGCACCCTCCTGATGTTTCTTCTGCTGGAAGGCCTGTCCAGATCTCCGCACAACGATGCCGACACTTCCTTGGGCTATTCCTCCCCAACTCCGAGAGGCCTCCCCCCCCCATGGCTTCCACCTCGGGCGGCATTCTGCTGGGCCAGAAAAGGGAGGAGGGCCCCCCCCTCGGGAACCCCAAAGGAAGCCCAGACAAAGCCCCGATTGTTCCCGGATCTGGGCTTAAGCTCCCTCTGGGAGGCCGGGAGGGCTGGAAGGGGAAGCCTCTTCCTCCTCCTCCTCCTCCTCCTCTCCCCTCCCTCCGGGACTGTGGGTTGGAGAGATCCAGCGGAAAAAGCCGGGCCAGGTGAGCCGCTGGCTGGCAACCAGACCGGCTTGGTGGCCTGGATTGGGTCCTGGGTGGAAGGGCCTGCCCGGACCTCCCGAGGGTGGACAGAGAGAGCCCGCCCTCCTCCAAAGCATCCTTTCTCCGTTCTGCTCCTTCTCCTTCTCCTTCTTTGGGGCTCCTGCTCTGCTCGGCATCTCATGGCGCGCGGGGAGCCCCCTGGTCCGGCCGAGAGCCCCACGGGGAAGCGCAGAGCAGATCACAAGGTAACTATGGCTCCCTCTGTTCAGAGGTCCTCCGCTGCCCTCGGCCGGGCCATCACGTCTTGCCCCGCTGTAATGTGCGTGGTTCCTCCGAGGACCGAGACGAATGGACCTCCGAGGGCAGCTGAAAAAGCTCTTTGTGAGGGTGTCCATCCAGTTGGTGTCGGTTCCTCCTTTGCCCGTAAAAACCTCTCGGGTTCGCCTTGGCCGGAGCAGACGGGGCGACCGGGGTGAGCGGTCTCAGCCTGAGGGTCTTGGCCCTCCCGGCCTCTTGGCTGGAGAACGGAAGCCGGCCGGCTCAGGATGGAGCGGCAGCTGCTGCTGAACGAGCCTGCGCGGCCCCGCAAGGTAAGCCCCCTGGGAAGAAGACATCTCCTCCCCCCCCAAACTGGGCCAGGGCTGAGCCTGGGAAGCGACTCAGAAGCAAGCTTTGCCAAATTCGGGGGAGTACGAATGCCGAAGTACGAATGAATGTTCGAAGACGGTCTGGTGTTGGTCGACCTGCAAGGAGAAAGCTCCCCCCCCACAAGCCCTCAAGTTGGCTGTGGTTCTTTTGTGCTTGGTTTGACTTTGCAGGGGGGGGGGGAAAGCCTCTCAGAGAGGTTGGCTTCTCAGTGGGGAGAGCAGCCTCTGCCCCAAACAGAATCGGATCCCTCCTTCGCATGGCGGGAGACAAAAGGCCTGGGAATGCCGAGAGACGGCCCCGGGACCAGGAGAGGCGAGTGACCCACCCAGGGGGGGGGCACAACTTTTAAGGCCCCCCCCAGTGTGCCCCAGTACCTTCCGTCCTTAGCATGGCATTGGGAGGGCGGCGTGCTTTCTTGTGGGCAGAATAATTGAGGGCTATTCAGGCGGGCTTGAGCTGACAGCATGCATAAGCCTCTTCTCTATCCCCATAAATAAACTCGTCTTTTTTTCCCCCTCTGAACTGAACCCTTGCTCTTCGCTGCCCTTTTCTGTACTTTTTCCAGTTCAACGCCCCCTTTTTGTACCCTCTCCCTCCTCCCAGGTTTTCCTTATTTTAATATGGGACCATTAAGTACCCCACTGTTTCTTGGGGTTGGCGGTGGCCCCTCTGCAGTCAAGAAAAGGTGTGTGTGTGTGTGTGTTTAAGGAGAACGAGGGTGGAATCTGTGCTTGAGACAGTCAATGGGTCCCCTCCTGGTTGAGTGATGGATTTTCGCCAATAATCTCCCTGCACCGAAACACCACCAACAAAAGGCCCCAAGCCTGCACCGAAACACCACCAACAAAAGGCCAGGAGGATTCCAGCACCAGGGATGGGATTGTGGTCGGCTGGGGCTAGCCGGTTTGCCCAGGACATGATGTGTGAGCCAATGGGTTCCATTTTCTGATGGCTGGTTTCCTTCTTCTGGGTCTGCTAGATTGGGGGCCAGCCGGCAGAGGCAGAGGCCAGGACGGGGTGATGGAGGGGTTGTTTGGCTCAAAAGCTCTCCATCCTGGCTCTTTCTGGGTGAACAGATATTCCTAGTGTAGAAGCCTCAAGGAAGCCAGGAAGGGTGACTTCCTTTGCAGAGCGCTGTCCTCTGTTTGGAGGCCAGGTTTTTTTATTATTATTATTTTCAGTCTGTTGGAAGACCAAAAAAAAAAAAAAAAAGGGGGGGGGGACTCAGGATCAGGGACGTGGGACAGTTGGCCAAATTCTCCCCCATTCAGGTGAAGAAGAGAGTCTTTCAATATGCATGGCACACGCCAAGCCAAGACTCACAGGGAAAGACAATAGTGCTAGGAAAAGCGGAAGGCAGCAGGAAAAGAGGAAGACTGAAATACGAGATGGATCGGCTCCGTAAAGGAAACTGCAGGCTTGGGTTTGTAAGAGCTGAGCAGAGCAGTTGAGGACGGGGCCCTTTTGGAGACGGTTCATTCACGGGACGGCCGTGTGTCAGAGGCAACCTGATGGCCTGTCGGAGCAACAACGAAGCCCCTACGCTGAGCGAGTGCCAGGGTGGCTGAGCCCCTTCGCTTGCGCAAATGCTTGGCATTCTTCACACTGAGAAGGCTCACCCGCTGTGGGTCAGGGGTCCCTTTGTCTTCCTGGCACACACACACACACACACACACACACACACCCTTCATCACATGCCAGCCGCCATGGGATTACGGCGAGGGGGATCAAGGGCCTCTTCCTTCCTCAGTGCTCAGCACCACTCAAGGAGAACAACCGGCCGGGCTCTAAATCCATGGCAGCTGCCCCCCCCCCCAGACGGAGAGCTGGTAGCTTTCTCTCTCTCTCTCTCTTTCTCTCTCTCTCTGTGTGGTGTGTGTGTGTTTTCAGCTGACTTTTGCCGTCAAGCTGGGTATCACATGCCTGGCCAGCACCTGAGGCCAGCTTGGGATGTTTTCTCGCTGATGGGAACCAGCCGCCTTTGGGGGGGAGGTTTGGGGGCACTTAACCCTTTCCTCCAAGGGATTCTAGCGTACCCAGACCCCCATCTCCCCACAGGAGGGTAACATCTGGAACCCATCCTGTCTCTGTCGTGGCTGAGTGGCCCTGACCTGGGGCTGAAAACTGGAAGGGGGGGGATGCTGACCTCCAGGTGGGCGGCACGCCCTTTGGGCAGACCAAGGAGGCCTTCTGAGACGGGAGTTCAACACACGCACAGCCTGGGGCCAAAGCAGAGAGTGGTCCAGGAGGAGGTTTGCATCAGCCCTCCTCTTTTCCTCCTCAACTCCGGCTCAGATCCGGTTGCAAGTAGCAATGGGGTTGCGGCGTTTCTGCTTGGTCGCCCGTGCATCCTTACCCTTTGTTTATTGGTTAACCTTTCTTTAACTGCATTTAACTTTCCATTCTTCATAATGGAAAGGATTTGAGGCTGGTTGGCCTGGAAGCCAGAGAGAGAAGAGAGAGAGAGAGAGAGATAAGAGAGAGAAGAGAGAGAGAGAGAGAGAGGGCTTCTCTGACCTTGAACGGCCCCCAGGTCAAATGGAGGGTGTGCCGAGGGGCTCAGCGGAGGAGCGGGCGTCTGGGCGGAGGGCCTACGAAGCATCCTTCCTTCTCTTCGGATGCAGAGGCGAAGGGGTAGTGGCTCACCATTTACCAAGTGAAACGCTTCTCTGTCATAGTCAGACGCCAGCGTGGTTGCCAGGCTGTCTCTGCACCGGGATCTTTGAAAACTCTGAACATTTCCCGCTGGTAACCAGCAATTTCAAGGAGAGCGTCCGCACGACGCAGTTGCACCCGCTTGCTCCCGTTGTAAGGGGTGCAGCTGCCTCCTATGGAAAGCTGGCGTTTGTGCTTTGGCGAGGGATTCGGGGCTCATTGATTGTTGCTGGAGGCAATGGTCACCCCCCCCCCAGGAAAGCGAAGAGCCTCAGCTCAGATGCCAGGAATCCCTCGAGTGGACCTGTGGTGGCTCGAGGGGGGATCAAACTGATATACAGTAATGATGTCGTGCAAACCGGGGTCCCGTCTCCTGTTGCTTCTGAGTCATCTAGACTCTGCTGGCTTAGTTCTCTTGGGTTGGAGGAGGAGGAGGAGGATGCAAACGCTTTTCTCCTTGGGTTGGAGATGGTGCCAGCTGCAGAAAGAGAGAGAGAGAGAGAGCGAGAGCGAGAGAGAGCTGTTCCTTGCTCAGGCAATCTTCCCAAGAGTAACAAAGAGTGGTTGAAATAACCAGATAGGCGGGGTATAAATAGAATAAATAAATAAAACAAATAAATAAAATAAAATGGGTTGCAGCCCCTCCTGCAAAGTACAAGCTGTGGCCACGAAACCATGAACGAGAGAGAAGCTTTTGGATAGGAGTATCGATGGGGGAGCGTTGTGCACGTCCTCCTCCACGTGGGTCTGGAAGGGGCAGCTCGTCTCTCTGCATGGCCCCCGCTGTTCCAACCTGTGAGATTTCCGCCTGCTTTCTTGCAGCTCCCGACCTGGACTCTCTTCTTCGCTGTGTGCGCGGCTGGCATTGGAGGGACCTTCCAGTATGGGTACAACGTTTCTATCATCAACGCACCCACGGAGGTAAGACGTGGCCTGCCGTGCCGTGGCCCCTCCTTCCCTGAAGGATGCTGAGCACTCTAGGAGGGTTCCAACCTGTGAGATTTCCGCCTGCTTTCTTGCAGCTCCCGACCTGGACTCTCTTCTTCGCTGTGTGCGCGGCTGGCATTGGAGGGACCTTCCAGTATGGGTACAACGTTTCTATCATCAACGCACCCACGGAGGTAAGACGTGGCCTGCCGTGCCGTGGCCCCTCCTTCCCTGAAGGATGCTGAGCACTCTAGGATGGTGTGTGTGTGTGTGGGGGGGGCGTGCTGAGACTGGGCCAGCCCTCCTATTAGGCAGAGCAAGGCCGCTGCCTACCCAGGACGTCAACCAAAGGATAGCAAATCATTTTTGCGTGTGTGTTTCTGACGGTTGTATCTGGCTGGAAAGGATGAGGAGAAATCCTTAGCAGAGCTTCTGTGTCGTGGGCCAGAAAAATGGGCTTCGCTTTGGGTCCCATATATCTTGGCTGCTGCAGCCCTTCGCCTCCGGGGCTCTGCCTGTTTCCGACATTTTAAGGGGGAACGAATGCAAAGTGGAAACTTTTTCCAGCGAGGCGGCTGTTGTGTGGGTCACGTCCATCAGTAAAGCAAAAGAAAAACCAGAGTGTGGAGGGAGGAGGGCCTTTCGAAGCTCAGGCAGCCCACGCTGGCATGAAGTGGCTGGCCTTGACTCAGAGAAGATCACCCAAATTATCCAGAATATTCCCCCTCTCAGCCCTGTTTTTCTCCAGCATTCAGGGACCTCCAGGGGCAGAGCGAAAGCCTGGCAGTTTTTCTACAGGGCACAGCCGGGCGAGGAGAATCTGGTTAGGGCGAAGGATGCTGGTGCCCCCCCCCCCAGTGGGAAGGAGGCAGCGGATCCTGTCCACCACCCACTGACTCCCATCCTGAGGAAACTGGGCCGTCTTTGTTTACTGTAACATTTTGCGGTAATTATGAAGAATGAGGAAAAGCAAATAAAGATGGAAAGATCAAAGCATGTGGCAAAATCAAAGAGAGAGGGAGAGAGAGGCAAACGGGCGCATGTTGTGCTACTATTTATGCCTTTTAATGTGGCTGTTTGTGTGTTTTTATTTGCTGCAAACTGCTCAGAGTAATGCATTGCACTAGTGGGCAGGGAGAGAGGGAGGGACGGCGGCCTGTCGGAGCCACAGAAAGCGAGCTTTCTCCCACGTTCTCCTGGGAGGGGCCCTTCAGACCTTTCAGGGTGCCCCTCCTGGCCCCTCTGACGCATGCCCCCCTCTCTCCTTTGCCCCCGAAAGCACATCCACAAGTTCCTGAACGAAACCTGGCAGAGCCGCTACCAGGCCGAACTGAGTCCCGGCTTGCTGACCCTCCTCTGGTCCACCATCGCCTCCATCTTCTCCCTGGGGGGCCTGTTTGGGGCGCACCTGGGCGGCAGCATGGCCGTTTGGCTGGGCAGGTGAGTGGGCGCATCCGGCTCCGTCAGCGGGAATGCTTTTCGTACTCTCTCGTGAGCAGAACTTGGGAGTAACTAGTTCCTAGCAATTGGGTTACCTTTAACTAGTTCCTTTTCTGGAATAAACTAGGTTTCACTTTTAAAACAACGCAACAAGCAGTTACAAAGCTGCCTTTTGGCACACAGAGTGATGTTTCTTTGTTACTTATAAAAAACTACTTTAAACAGACTTTTAGGAAGTATTTTAAGGAGGATTTTTTTTTCAGTGTTTCAACATGCAGTATCAGAGTTGGACACAACGAGCATTTGCATTTATTTTTCTGGCTGGCTGGTAAACCCACAAGCTCATGACTAACTTGATCTGTGTTAAGGTTGCGAATTGATGATGACATGGATTATCTCGGGGTCTCAAAGCATTAAGTGAAGAGTTCCTTTAAAAGCAAACATACTACAGTGGTGCCTTGTTTAGCGATTGCTTAGTTTAACAATGAAATCGCTTAGCGATGACTTTTTCGGAGCGTGGCGGTTTGAGAGGCTTCCGGCCTGGCCCACCTGCCTTCTTCTTCCTTTTCAGAAAAGGGGCTCTCCTGATGAACAATTTCGTAGCTCTTCTGGCCGCCATCTTGATGGGCGTCAGTTTCCCGACGGGCTTCTACGAGCTGCTGATTCTGGGGAGATTTCTAATCGGCATTAACACGGGTGAGAGCGGAATCTGGCAGAGGAGGGGAGACGTGCCCCCCCCCGTGGACTTAATTCCCAACCCCTTGTTGGCTGTATGCTCACAAAGTGGGGTGGCCAGAGGGTTCCTGAACACACGGCAGAGCTACCTCTGGGGACTACAAATCCCAGCCTCCCCAGCCAAACCAGGTTTGCGGGCTCCAATGGGGGGGGGAATGACGTTTGTGACCGATGCCTGTCCTTCTTTCTCCTGGACAAGCATGTTCTGCTGATGGATCTGACAGGAAGAATTTCATGCCTTCTTTTATTTTATTTTATTTTATTTTTTAAACTAAGCAAGCGCTTCTAGGCAGTTTGTGATTAGAGGCAGGGCGGGTGGCTCCGAGGTGCTTCAGGCTGGGTGGGCACAGGGCCCACCCCCCTCATGGCTTCCCCTCTTTCCTTGCTAGGCATCGGCCTCTGCGTGCAGCCCCTCTACATCGGGGAGGCCGCCCCCAAACACCTGCGAGGCGCCATGGCCATGGGGAGCTCCATCTTCCTGACGGGAGGCATTTTGACGGGGCAGGTGGTCGGCCTACGGTGAGTCCCAGGGTCTCGGTGGCTCGGGCGGCAGGGGGGTCCAGAGGGGCCGTGGCCCCCCCAGTTGTGGGTGTGGGGGAGGAGGAGGAGGAGGTCCACAGCAGAGGGACGGAGCCTGTCTGTCTCGGTCTGTCTCCATCGGTCCCAGTCTCTGCAGGGCTCGGGGGATAAAAGAGGTTTCCGCTCTTCCCCCAGGGAACTGCTGGGCGGGGAGTCCCACTGGCCTTTGCTGCTCTCGACCTGCTGCATCCCAGCCTTTGTGCAGCTCCTGGCCCTTCCCTGGTTCCCGGAAAGCCCCCGTTTCCTGTTCTTGGACCGAGGGAACGAGGTGAAGTGCGTCAAAGGTAAACTGAGAGGCTCACCTTTGGCTCTTGGCCTCTGTCCCCCCCCCCGACCCCACGGGCACCCTGTAGGAACTCTGCAGGTTGGACAGGGCGGGCCCCC